AAAATCAAAGTAGACTATCACTCACCCACACCAGATTGAAAACTCTACAGACTGTAAACATCCACGAAACAAAGAAAGGTATATATATATGACGATATATATATATGTATATATATATCGTCACAAACAGAATATATATATGTATATATATTCCTTTTTTTTTTTTTTTTTTTTTTTTTCTTTTTCTTTTTTTCTTTAACTTAGTAGTTGTTGGTAATGTCGAAGGCTTTATATGTCCCCACCTCGGCAGATAGGACAACTACCGTGAGGATGATGTGGATGTTCAGGAGGATACCCAAGACACATCATGAAGAAACCACAAACAGCCTAGGACAAGACAACATACGAAAGGACTTCCTCATTGCAATGTTGCTAAGTTAGTTATATAACCTCTAGTCAACAAAACAGTGCATTGCATTATTGTCGTAGAGCTCAGAGTTTGCAATGGGCCAGATCCTAATTCTAAGCCTCTCCATCATCAGAAGATTCAAAAACTCTATCTTGTCCCTCCGCAGCCCCTTCCTCCCCACTCTCTTCCTTTTGTTCGCTCCCCTCATCCTCATTATCAGAAGATTCTGAACCTCCATCCTGTTCTCCGTCACCACCACCATCATCATCATCACCGTCATCATCATCATCATCACCGTCATCATCATCATCATCATCATCACCATCACGATCATCATCACCATCGGCATCATCATCACCGTCATCATCATCAGAGGATGACGACGATAAAATGGTGCTTGACCATGTCACGGGCGAGCTTGTTGCTCGTTATTGCGATCTGCACACATAAAAAACGGGCACGACCACCAAATCAGCCATACTCCCCATTACATCCCCGATTCACCCACACCAGACGTTGTGTCCTCCCCCCTTCCGCCGTAGACTCCTCCACAACCACCGCCCCTTTTCAACACGGCTGGCCAAACAGGACGAACTCAAAAAAAAAAAACAATCTCTTCAGTCGCTGTCTTCGGAAGTCTCCCTTAAAAATTTTCAAATCAAGTGGACAATTATCAAAATAATTAATAATATAATAGAAACGAAGAAAAAAAGACAAAGGGGGTATGTTGTCTGCCTTGAAATCAAGTGGAGGACAGATGTACGGCAGATGCAGGAGAGATGAGGAAAGATGGAGAGATGGAAGAGAAAGGTCGTGAATGGAGGAGAAATGAAGGTGGAGGGGATATGAGAGGGAGATGGGGATATGGGAAAAGATGGAAGGCAAAGGGCGAGATACGGAGTTGGAGGAGAGATGGACATAAAGGAGAAAGGTGGAGGTATGAAGGAGAGATGATGGTGCACCTAGCGGAGGCATGGAGGAGAGATGAAGGTGGAGGCATGGAGGAGAAATGGAGGTGGGGGGTAGAGGAGAGATGGAGAAAAGATGGAGGAAAGATGGACAGGGGGTAGAGGAGAGATGGAGAAAAGATGGAGGAAAGATGGACAGGTAGAGGACGAAGGTGGAGACATGGAGGAGAGATGAAGGTGGGGATATAGCGGGAAGACTGGGATATGTCGAGCACCTAGTCCAGGAATAGGAAACAACGAAAAAAAAACAAGCGGTATTTCCAGTGTTTTCCAGCGGAGGGGATATGGCGAGGAGATGAGGCATTATAGTAGGACCTGGAGGACGACGAAAAAGAGAAGAGATGGAGGAGGAGAAGAGGTGGAGGGAGGAAAAAATGGTACATGAACCCCTAAAGTGCCTTGTACATCAAGCCCTAACGGCCCCTGCGCATCAAGCCCTACAGGCCCCTAAAGATTAGCATGACCCTTCAGCAAGGATGACAAACGAGAGTCGAGAAAAGGTCGAACAAAAAAAATAGGTTCCTTTGTGACATCCGTTGCAATGGGAACGACGCAGAGATGATTACCATGACCCTGACACACGATTCGAAAAAAGGTCCAAAAAAAAAAAAAAAAAAAAAAACCCTCAATAGATTGGATTATTTTTAAAATTTTGATACCTAGGTCAGAGAGGAGGACGAAAGGTTGTGCTAATCTTCTATGTATCGTTCCCAATCCTCCTCCGTTTCGTGATGTTGGGAACGATACATAGAAGATTAGCACGACCTCTGCGCAAGGATGACACGCACAAAATTTTATCGAGAAAAGGTTAAAAAAAAAAAAAAAAAAGCTCGATAGATTCGTTGCCTGGGTGGGAGAGGAGGAGGACGTGGACGACGAGGGCGACGAGAAGGACGACTTGGAAGAGGAGGCCGACGAGGGCAATGAGGAAGGGGAGAAGGAGGAGGAGGAGGAGGAGGAGGAGGAGGAGCGGGACGAATGCGACGAGGGCTCGATAGATTCGTTACCTGGGTAGGAGAGGAAGAGGACGTGGACGACGAGGGCGATGAGGAAGGGGAGGAGTACGACCTGGAGGAGGAGGGCGACAAGGGCAACAAGGAAGGGAAGGAGGAGGAGGAGGGCGACGAGGGTGACGAGGAAGGGGAGGAGGAGGAGGAGGAGGAGGAGAGCCACGAGGAAGGGGAGGAGGAGAAGGGCGACGAGGGCGACAAGGGCGACGAGGAAAGAGAGGAGGAGGAGGAGCAGGAGGAGGAGAAGGAGGACGACGACGAGAGGAGGAGGAGGAGAAGGACGAGTGGGAGAAGAGGAGAAGCATACAGAGGAGGCAGTAAGGAGGATGAAAGGGAGGTCGAGGCCGATGATACTCACCGGGCGATGGCGGCAACTCCTCCCTCACAAGGCAGCACGACAGAACGACAGCACTTCAGCATGGGGCGGCACTTGAGAATGGCGGCAGCTCCTTGAAATGGCAACAACACTCCTCGCTGGAATGGCAGTGGCCGACCAGAAATATACCCAACAGGCCCAGCCAAGCCCACCCACACAGTACAAAGTACTACGAACAGGTTTCAAAATTTTGAAACCTCACGGTCCGGCCTTGAGCGCAGGCCTAAAAAAAATTATTTTTGCCTTGGCATCAATTTTGGTGGGGGGCCTCCAATGTGTCGTTTCGACCCCCACCTTTTGTTTTTGGGCAGGGGGGGGTTCGGGCCGTTCCCCGCACACCTCGTGCGCCGCACGGGAACAGTCGGGCGCGTGCGTGGAACGTCGGGAAACTCGAGCACAACGTGCACTTGCAAGTATGATATATATATATATAGTCACAAAGTTATCAGAGCGCAAAGCCAAAAAAACAAAAAGAAATACAAAAAAAAGAAAAAACAAGATTTTTTTTATTTTTTTTTTTACTTACAACTCCCCCTGTTCAGAACCTCTTGCGTACAAGGTTGCCTCCTGGATGAACGAAACAGAATGTCACAGCCCCTACTTTGTTGCACTCTTCTCCCTCTCTGCCTACGGTTTACCGCAGGCGCCTACGGTTTACCGCAGGCAGTTCTTTTTGACGATTGTGACAATATATACATATATATTGTCAAACACAGCTTCCCGATAGACGTTAAGCAGAGAGGGAGTGATGACACCTAAGCGTGTTCGCCCTCTTCATCTGTTTTTTTTTTCTTTTTCTTTGACAAGAATCTGCAGTTCCAAGACGGAGTACAATTCAAATTTAGGCTACCAACCAGGCCGCCCAGGTCCAGGGTGGCTAGCGCGTGCAAGGACCAAGGAAGGTCCCAGCCAAAAAAAAAAAAAAAAAAAAAAAATCCAAAAAAAAAAAAAGTTATGCAGGAAAGTAAACTGAACAACTTTTGCCTCATGGTCACAACTAAATTCTTCACCAAATTTAAAATATAAAATAAATTTTAAATATATATATATATATATACAAGGTTACCTGACCGAACGTTCGGGGGCCCCCGGGCTGGCCCCCGAACGTTCGGGCGTTCGGGGTCCCGTTCAGGGGTCGAACACCTCCAGGTTCGGCCCCCGCCAAATTTTTTTTCGGGGCCTAAAAATAAGGTTGTTTTTCTGAATGTTTTCTTGTGAGTTCTTTATTATGTAACCTACACGCCTATAAATTTTGAAGCCATTCTGCTAAGCCAAAAAAACATTAAAAATCGTCAAAGATGGAGGTGTCAAAACGTGCTCGCCCACTCACTATTTTTTTTTTTTTTCACTTTTAACTTTTTGTTTTCACCTTGTTTCGGGGCCTAAAAAATTTTATTTTTTTTTTATTTTTTTTTTATGAGTTATTGATTATGTAAACTACATATCTGGGGTCTGGTCCCACCTGTGTTGTTGAGAAAACTCAACGCGGAGTTTTCTACGACGAGCGACAACGTTCGACATGGATGTGGTCGTCGACAGGGCTGCGATCCCACTGTTGGAAGTATTTCGAAATGTTGATGTCCTACCGGGTGATTTGAATGAATTTTTTTTTTTGTATGAGGACTTCGGATGGAATCCCGCAATGGAGGGAAGGCGGCATGGGCAAGCGCCACGAAGTTGAGAAAGCTACCCTCTACGGTCGAGGGTAGGTTTCTCAACATGGTCCCCGCATAAATTTTGTGATTTTGGGGATTTTTAGTCGTCGTCTGCTGTTCCCCGTTTCTCGTATACTGTGTCAGGCACTCCGTCAGTGCAATGAAAGTCGTAAGTGTCGTGCGTGGGATAAGGCCTCGCTCCGTTGCTCACCACATGCACAAACAAAAGAAAAAAGAAAGTCGATGTATGTTTCCGTGTTCTTGCCGATATTCATTGCTCTTTGGACCCACTTCGACGTCCTCGACAGAAACCACTATTTTCGCATCATTTTCTTAAAATGAATAAAAATTGGTATGAATAAATCTGAAATGCATTTTTCGGATTTAAAAGATGCGGTAAATGGTGTCACACCGTTGAGGTTTCTAAACTCAACGGCCGTAGGTGGGACCAGACGCCTGTAAATTTTCAGGGCATTTGTCAATGCCAAAAAATAATTAAAAATCAGCAAAGATGGCGATGTCGAAAAGGTGTTGGCACACTCACTCATTTTAATTCTCTTTTTATTTTTTCTTATTTTTATCATAGTGTTTATTTTCTGTATTTGATTTTTAATTCAAATTTGGTAAATAATTTCGATGTGGTGCCCAAGCAAATGTTGTTTAGTTTATTTGTCTCCATAACATATGTTTGTTTTGGAATTTTTTGAAAACTTTTTTTTTTTTTTTTTTTTTTTTTGTCCGCGTTCGGCCCGAACGGCCGAACGCCGGCCGAAGGGGTCCCGTACGTTCGGGCGTTCGGGATGGGCCGAACGCCGGCAACCCTGTATATAAATATATATTTATTTATTTTTTATGATGTTTTTTTTTTTTTGGCCCGGCCTAGCAAGTGACCCCGGACCACTTTGGTAGCCTAGATTCAAATGCGAATTTATGAACTTGAATAAAATAAATTAAATTTGAGGCGCAAAATTGAAGATCTCGCTTACCTGCTTGATGATGCGAAGCAACATTAAAAAAAAAAAAAAAAAAAAAAAAAAAAAAAAAAAAAAAAAAAAAAAAAAAAAAAAAAAAAAAAAAAAAAGTGAAGCATCCCTTCATTTTCTTCGTGATTTCACCACGCACTTAAGAACAGAACAGGTTGAAAACAGAATCCAGCAGGCTCAAACGGACCTGTACACGAAAAAATATTAACAAGAGACCGAAACAGACTCACAGAGACCCAATCTTGGTTCACACAGACTCACACATTCTCACACAAACTCACACAGACTCATCATAGGCTCATCACAGACTCAAATGGACTCACATAGACTCACACAGACTAATCACAGGCTCATCACAGGCTGAAACGGACTCACACAGACTCATCACAGACTCAAATGGACTCACAGACTCAAACACACTCACACAGACTCATCACAGGCTCATCACAGACTCATCACGAACTCATACAGACTCACACAGACTAATCACAGGCTCATCACAGGCTGAACCAGACTCACACAGACTCATCACATACTCAAACAGACTCAAACAGACTCAAATAGACTCAAACAGACTCACAGATTCAAACAGACTCACACAGACTCATCACAAACTCATCACAGACTCAAATAGACTCACACAGATTCATCACAGACACACAGACTCATCACAGGCTCAAATGGACTCAAACAGACTCACACAGACTACGACAGACTCATCACAGGTTCATCACAGGCTCAAACAGACTCACACAGACTACGACAGACTCATCACAAGCTCAAACAGACTCATCACATACTCAAACAGACTCACAGAGACTCAAACGGCTAGAAAAAGTCCTATAAGAGACCCAAACAGACTTCAAACTCACCCAGACAGACCGAAACGGACTCAAAAAGTGTAAATTCAGACCCAAACAGACTTCAAACTCAGACAGACTCAAACGGACTCACACAGACTCACACAGACTCACAAAGACTCATCACAAGCTCATTACAGACTCATACAAACTCACAAAGACTTGTCACAGGCTCATCGCAGGCTCAAACGGACTCATACAGACTCATCATAGACTCAAACGGACGCACACAGACTCATCCCAGGCTCAAACGGACTCAAACAGACTCACACAGACTCATCACAGGCTCAAACGAATTGCATACGTCCTATAAGAGACCGAAACAGACTTCAGACTCACTCAGACAGACTTGACGGACTCAAAAAGTCATATAAGAGACCTAAACACACTTCAAACTCACGCAGATTCACACAGACTCACACATACTTTTTGTATCAGGGGTATAATGTATTTGGTAAGGCTCGCAAGTGGCATTCAGGAGGTCATGGGTTCAATCCCCATTGGCCTCATGTACCTTCCTGCGCATGGTTGGCGCCCCCCCACCTACAGATAGTGAAGTTAGATCCCCCGAACGGCATGGAGCAGTCTGCTGATGTCGGTAGTGAAGGGGACCTGGGGGGAGGCACAGGAATTGGTCCTGTTAGCATGGTCTCTAATGCTACCGGGTGTCCTCTGACCGGCATCGACCATCCGCACGTCAGGAGCAGTCCCCGCATGTTCTGTCGTGAACATGGTTCTAGGTGGTACTGTATTCCCTGTATTCCCTGTATGCCTTTTTTTTTTTTTTTTTTTTTTCTCCTCATCATGGGACAACCATATGTTTTTCTCTCACAAAAAATGAGATTTTTAACTGACGATCTGCCATGTCATGGATCATATCGTTCTTTCACTACCTACCTACCACTTCTCCTATACAGGGAACCCCTTAGAGCACAAATCTCTCTCTCTCTCTCTCTCTCTCTCTCTCTCTCTCTCTCTCTCTCTCTCTCTCTCTCTCTCTCTCTCTCT